CCCTAAAGAAACCTTTAAATTTTGAAAAAGAAAAGTATTACTTTCAGATGTTTTTATACTAATAAGAATTGAAACAAACATTGACTTATATGTAAGCAGCGATTACCAAGAATTGTAGGTTGAAATTATTGAAGAATTCATGAAATTTTTCTAATAAATATAAGTTTTAGAATATAAGTAAGGTATGAATTGAATATAACTAGATGTTTGTAGAACTGCTGTAAAAATACTGCTTGCTTATGTAGAATCTAATTTATAAGTGCATGCATAGTAGTAGTGGTGGTAGTAATTTTGGTGTTAAAAATGGTGGTATTTTGGTGGTGGTCGATAAAATAAATATGACTCTGTGTGAAAAATCTCCGCTTTTTCTTTTACTAAATTTTCCTAATTATCGATATTTTATACGTTTATTGTCAAATGAATATATAAAATATTGATACACGCATGAAATAATGTATCTGTGTTTCATAGAGTTATATACGACTAAGGTATAATTTAAATTTCACTTTCAGGTTTAGATTGTCGTATCGGTTACCTTTTAAGATTCCTTTTAAAATTTCTTTTGCTGTTCGTTTTGCAAAGCGATCGACGATCGAACGTTTTGCAATTCTACGTCAAAAGGAAGATTTATCGTTGATTTTAAATAAATTTTTACGTAAAGGAGGGTGGATGGGATCGCGGATAGGGTGGGTCTCCAATTCAGCAGCAATCTCCACGCGGTGAGACCTGGAAAATTATTATTATTTACTATACTATTTATAATCGTATCTGTGATACAACTATAAATATAATAGCAAATAATATGAGCTGACTGGTTGCGCATGCGTTTACTTTTTTACGTATTTATTGTGATTTATTAAGTTACAAGTGAGATCTTCGTATTGACTTTTAAAAATCATGGGATATCGTGTATTAGTTGTTAAATCGTTATATATTTTATCGTTTAATTTTGAATAATGATGATTTTTTTGTAACTTCTTTTTTTTCTTATCTTGTAACTGATTAGTATATATTTATCATTAACAAAGACATTGTGTCTTTTCAAAGTTATTTCTATGAATATTTTCATGTATTTTAAAAAACTATTTTCTTTTACTAAATATAGTTATAAATATAAATAAAATATTTATAACTATATTTATAGGTTTAAATATTTATAGGTTATAAGATCGTTTAATAAATAAAAATAGTTTCTCAGTAAATTAGTCCTTTTATTAATTCAAAAAGATTCAAATCATTCGATTCAATTTTAAAAAGTATGTATGTATTAGTTTTATTACTTTTAAATAATTAAATAATTTCGATAAAATAAAACTTTGTTTTATCGAAATTGTAAAATTAATTAGTGAGGAATAATTTAATTTTAATTTTCAAATACAGTTAGTTTTAAATTTAACAAATAATAAATTAGATTTTATGTTTTACATGCAATAATAGTTTTCTACTAAGCTAATAACATCACGTGTGGCACAAAGATGATTAAAAGATTAGACATTTTCCGAATCTTGTAATAAATAAGAAAAGACACATCTGCGCCATCTCTTGAGAGTTAAATACATTTAAATTGTTTTAAAGATATTTAAGAGATGACGCTGGTTCTTAATTCTTAATATTTTCTTATTTACCATCGTACCTTTTTTTTTAATGAAATGTCTTTGGTTTTCGAAAGATGGTGCCAAAGTTAATTCTTGTTCTATATTATCTTTTGTTTCGAGAGATACCTTTGGCGCTCTCGTCTCTGTGTTTCATTGTATTACTCTAAAGATGGCGCTAATTTCACAATTTTATAGGGAATTTTATGAGGAATTTTATCGATTAGATATTTAGGTTGATTTTCACTGAATTGCTTTATTAACCATTCAGTTATTGTATTACTGTTTTTAAAATATGCGATTATATATATAAATATATATTAACGAGAATTAATACTAGACATATTTTTTGTATATAAATATTTCTAGTCTCTTGATTGTACCGATTATTGTTACATGGCTGAGTACGTAATCATAATATGTACATAATAATCAAGGCGAAATACGAGATTAACAATGAACATATTTCCATTTTGTTTTCCAGTATATTTATTGGAATATGTTTTAAATTTAATCTTTAATGTAAAAAGTGTAGATATCACGTTCTCGATTTCAAACTGTATTTTTATTGTAGGATGATTTTACAAAACATAGTATATATACATATATATGATTATGATATAACGATTCTTATATATAAGTGTTTTAATTAAACTTAATTAATTGAATTAAAATAATACAATAATATGATTATTGTAATTTAATTTTGAATGATTCTTATACGAACATTTTAAATTGAACCAAACTAACCAAATAAAATAATTATTACTACGTAATATCAAATTATTTTCAAAAATAAATATATAATATGAGATAGGTTTGGTAAAACTATTATTGTTCATAGAAAATGTAAGTACTTCAATTTATTGTAAATTATATACAGATATCGAATCTGCAACAGGCAAAACATTTCGTATTTAACATTACATAATTTCTGAATACTTACATTTTATAAAATTTCAAACAATTAATTCGTAAACAAATTCACATATAATGTTTTAATCTCACTTTATTGACTACAGACATACTTAAACCAAAATACTGTTAACCAATCTATCCATCATCCTTCGCAATATTTCCGAAGTATATCCTTTTTCAATATATTCAAATCACATTTTTTTCCTCGCGATGCCAAGATGCATAATTACAAAATAACATAAAAAGTTTGCAGCACCATATAATGTCGCGATGCACGATGATCGATGCACCAAAAAGGCTTATCAATTAATTATACAGAAGAAAGCTCGAACAACATGGAGATTAATGTAACAATTCGCGACTAATTCTCTTCCATCAAGTACGAGCAAAAATTCCTAAGATTGAGCGTGTTCTCGTCTACTCTTGCAAACGCATAATAATCGCAGCCAAAATATCGAATATAGCTAAGAATTACATCGTAAATTACGATTAACTTGCTCGATAAATTTCGAAATTTACTCGAAAAGAAAAAGAAGAAAATGCAGCGAATGCAAATATCGACGACGTCAAGAAAGATGCATTTTTTAATATTTAAAAAATTTTCAAATTTAATTAAAAGCTTTTTAAGTTTTTTCTCTCTGATTTTTGAAATTTAAAACAGAGAAAAGGAAAAGAACGAAGAAAATTTATCGCATTAGCCGCATTTTGTTTCGAGACTTCCATCGTAAAGAATCTTTACGCCAAATCAAATCAACAATTACATTTGTACAATGAATTTAATCCATAATATTACGCCCTGCGTTTTTTTGATTCGCATTCCTTGACACAACTCATTGCTCGACGTTCGCACAAGGGAACCGTTAAGGAACAGCATAGATAAATTACGTATCCATGAATTCGATAACGTCTGCAATTTACGTGCAATTTTCGCTTGAAACAGTCGCATTACATTTGTGCGTCAATTTTCTGTTCGGTACCGTGCGCGCAGAAGAGTCATAAATAGATACGATTACAAGGCAAGGGTAAAATACATTTCGATTAAGTAAATTCACAAGTAAAAAGTAAATTTCGCATTTCTTAGTGTTAATCTTCTTTCGTTTTGGAAAAATTAATTTTTCAATGATGTTTTCAATTAATAAATCGTCAGAATATTCGTCGTTAACGGGAAAAAGAAGGAAAAAATTTCTTTCTTATCTCATTTCAAAGGAGAAATGATGGTTCACTATACATAAAAATGTACAATGCGTATAATTTGAAATTAAAATTCTCCGATTCAATTCCATATCTTTATTATTATTACTATTCCTCGAGATCTTTTTCTAAGCAATAGATTAGATTATAAAGGAAGTGTATGGAGTTAACAGTTGAAAACTCTGTTTGAACGAACGTACACAAAAGCGAATAGTACATGTCTTACGTCTTAAGTAATGTTTTCATAATTATAGAATTACAGTCGCTGGTCGTTAACAGGATCTTATAAATTATCTACAGTTATTATTAGAGTTTATAAACATATGCAGCGTTTTTTTTGAATTCTAATTTTTTTCTTTCTTTCTTTCTATCTCTCTCTCTCTCTTTTTCTTTTTTTTCTTTTTTTTTTTTTTTGTGAAAAAGTACGATGATTCATTTTATACATTTTATTTTTAGCAAAGTTATTCACCGCACACCATTTACTATATTTATATATAGTATCATATACAGACAAATTATTGAATGTTTTTTAAATGGCACTATTCGAGAGTTGCCTGAGTACGTTTTGCTTGATGACTAGAATTCATTTAATCCTTTCTCGTGTTATAATATATGGAATTGTCACACGCTTCATTCTTCGCGCGTGTACGTCGGAACTTTTATCCTCTTTTTTTTTTTTCCTTTTTTTTTTTTTTTTTTATATTTCTCTCACTACGATCGATTCGTTTTACAAAATATCAGAACTATGGTTTAGAAAAGCTTAGAAATGGGATTCCAGGCGATTTCGAATCTCGATTATATTGCGATTAATTCGTTAATAAATCTATTTTATGCATGATCATAAGCAAAGATGGAGTGCAAAAAGCACCAGATTTTCCTCTTTGAAAACATATAATATATATATATATATATAAAACTTGATTGAACTACTATTAATAATACTACTCATATAAACAACGTTACGCATGAGTCTTGGGATACGCAATAAAAAAAGAAAAAAGAATAATACGAGTATCTGAGAATCTTTGAGATGACCGTGAGCAACGGTGTTACACATCCGTCACAAAAACAAATTGTTTCTCTCTTTTTTTTTAATCTACTATTGTTAATTATTGTTGCGTTAATGGAATTTTTATCGATCGATCGATAAAATACGTGTTTCTCTGTATGTCTACTTAACTAGGTGCTCCGTATATTATATCTCGTTTTCAAAATTGAAATTGAAATTATGAGAAACTATATTGTGTATGTACAAACGATATTGTAACATCAATGCGCTGGGGGCACAATGTCGCGATTCTTTTATGCATTTTCGTGCTTTCGATTGGTTCAGATGGTTTTTTTTCATTTTCTTCTTCTTCTTCTTCTTTTGCTGCTGCTGATCGTTTCTTAACGCTGCATAGCCAATGCGTTCAAATAAATGGTATGAACGGAAAGAAAACGGTTGATCTTATTCCTTGATGCGATCAGCAACAGTTTCCAAATTTCATGCCACTTTCTTCTTACTTGTCTTCTTGCTGCGAGGGAGAGTAGCGAAGCTTGTTATCTGAAATATAGAGATACGAGCGTTATGGTAGAATCGTGGTAGAAAATTCTTTTAATTCTTTCAATTAAAATGCAAATTTAAAAACTGCTCGAAATGATTTATCACATCACACTGGCTGTAGAGAAAATATATTATAGGAGGAACAAAGTCAATTTCGATGCGGTATTTGAAGTTTTCTATATTTTGTGGGGGAAATTTTTTGTCTTTCGTTGAGATCGTTTTGATCAATTAAGAGAAATTAAAATTTTCACAATGAATTCACAAGAAAAAGTAATAATATGTCTTAGTTCTTTTGAAACATTAGAAGAAGAATTGAAATGGTTTGATTTAGCTGTAAATAAATTATTAGATCTATAATGAAATAATTTGATGTTACTTTTTGCACTTTTCATTTCGAAATATATGAAAATTTCTTTGTAACGTATCTGTTATTTAGAATATTTACTTTCAAGACTGCGTTGACTTTAATTTTAAATTTTTTTAAAAAAATATACAAATCGTTCAGGACGAAAGAGAAACAATTTCCACGAAAGTTTCCAGAGTATACTTTCTTCTTCGAAGCGACAATTAATAATTTAATAATGGCGATATAGCTGTTAATAATTAAATATACGTCATGCAGGTTTTAAGATAATAACACTCGCTAAATTAGTGATCTAATTAACACAAAACACTCTAGAAACATTTTCATACGATATGAACGAACGAATTAATCCGTTTCTTCTCTCCAGATTTCCAGTACGTTTAAAGTATCTAGCAGGTGGTGGGGGGGATGAGGAAGGATTAGGTTAGGTTTAACTCGTCAACGAGAACCAGTCAAAAAGACCCGTGTAAATAACTCTTATAAATCTTATAATATATTATATTATACGCAATAATAAAATGGAAATTTTATTCTACGCTTTTTAAAAAATATCCGACTCCAATCTCTTCCCAATTTTCGACGTCTCCTCCTCCCTTATTATTCCCGACTCGACGCTCTCTTCTATCCCCTCTTCATCCGTTTCGACGCTCTCCATTTTACACCATTTATCATCGGTTGGCGCGAGTACGTATGAGCCGTCAGAACTGTTGGACGTGTCGTTCTCGCTCTCGTTCGTACATCGAACGCCCTCCGATTTCGGCGCAAGTTCGATTATCATTTCCCGCGGCTCGGCGCTGCTCGATTTAGCCCTGTGAAAAGCGTTCTGAAACACGTTCCTCGGGATGGCGAGCAATTTGGTGAAACCCTCCCTGGTCCTCTGCCTCTTCGACCTCTTCCCCTTCGACCTCGCATCCGAGCCGTCGCCGGTAAACGCGTCTTTGCCCCTCAACGTTTTGATTACCAACGTGGCTCTCAACGCGCCTCCGCCATCCTCTCCCTCCTCGCTCCTCGCGAGAGGCACATTGGGCGCAGGCCTCTTGTTGTACCTTCCAGCTCGGCCGAGACTGGCCGAATTGCTGCGCGACACGCTCGGTGTCGTCCAAACGTCCAAGGAGGCCTCGTTCTCCATTGCCGCGTCCTCGGCGGCCATCTTTGTTTCCTCGGCGACTTCGTGTTCCCCGCTCGTTTCTTCGATTTTATCAGCCAACGTCTCGATGGACGCGCCGCTCAGACGCAACTTTTCTTGGGTGTGAACTATATTGTTGACAGCTTTGCGGGCGTCGCTCAAGAGTTGTTTGAGCTCATCGAACTTGTTTTGACAGAGTTGATCCGTTATTGGGGGATGGATCGCGTCGTCGTTCTCCTCTTCGTTGGTTGATCTTTTGGAAGGTTCATCGCGACGGATACGCGACGAGTCGGTGTTCGCTTCTCTTAGAGAACGTTCGGGAACGGTTCTCGCCTCGACGGCTGGAATTGTTGGAAGCTGTGCGGCTATATGTACGGAATCCAATGGGTTATCGACGGTTTCTAGTGATTGTTTTGTCACTGGTTCCGGGCCTGATTGACTGGTGTGTTTAAGTAAATCGTCGTTACCTGGGACAACGGGGCCACGATCGAAATCGATATAATCAGCGACATTACGGTTTTGCGAGAGCAGAAGCAAGATCTCGAGTGCTTGTTCGGGAGTGACGAGATTTAGAGGTGGCGGAAATGAGATATTTTTGGAGAAGGGAGGATCGATGCTGTCGGAATCCTCTCCCGAGTCCTTCAAATATCACAAAAATTTATTATCAACTAATACCTGGACGGAGGAAGATAAACAAATGAAATAATTTCGAATAATAAATTCGAATAATAAGCGTGTAGGAAATTTAGGCGAATCTTTCGATCGATCAAGGTTAAAATTCTCGGCACAAATTTCTACGCGAAATCTCTATTGCCATCCCTTTTTAATAGCATTTTTTATAAAATTTCGAAAATATTATCACGATTTACAAACGAATCCATAAAATATATTCTTTCTAAATTTCAAGGCTTCGATCAAAAAGAAAATCCTCAAAAGTGAATCTTTATTTAATGTCTCCAAAATTTCTATTGGCATCCCTTTTTAATAGCATTTTTTATAAAATTTCGAAAATCTTATCACGATTTACAAACGAATCCATAAAATATATTCTTTCTAAATTTCAAGGCTCCGATCAAAAAGAAAATCCTCGAAAGTGAATCTTTATTTAATGTCTCCAAAATTTCTATTGGCATTCCTTTTTAATAGCATTTTTTATAAAATTTCGAAAATCTTATCACGATATACAAACGAATCCATAAAATATATTCTTCCCAAATTATAATCCATATTCTTCTCAAATTTTAAAACTCGGATAAAGAAGAAAATCATCAAAAGTGAATCTTTATTGAATGTCTCCAAAATTCTATTTAATAGGCATCCCTTTTTAATAGAATTTTTTCTAAAATTTCAATTTAATCGAGTATAATTTCGAAAATTTTATTTAAACCATGATATACAAACGAATCCATAAAATATATTCTTCCCAAATTAAATTTTAAAGCTCCAATCAAAAAGAAAAACGTCGAAAGTAAATTTTTATTCAATGTCTCCAAAATTTCTATTGGCATCCTTTTATAATAGCATTTTTTATAAAATTTCGAAAATCTTATCACGATTTACAAACGAATCCATAAAATATATTCTTTCCAAATTTCAAGGCTCTGATCAAAAAGAAAATCCTCGAAAGTGAATCTTTATTTAATGTCTTCAAAATTTCTATTGGCATCCCTTTTTAATAGCATTTTTTATAAAATTTCGAAAATCTTACCATGATATATAAAATATCCATAAAATATTTTCTTTTTAAATTTCAAGGCTCGGATAAAAAAGAAAATCGTCGAAAATGAATGCCACTTTATTGCCACTGAATGTTTCCAAAAAAATCTCTATTGGCATTCCTTTTTAATAGCATTTTTTATAAAATTTCGAAAATCTTATCACGATTTACAAACGAATCTATAAAATATATTCTTTCCAAATTTCAAAGCTCTGATCAAAAAAAAAATCGTCGAAAGTGAATCTTTATTTAATGTCTCCAAAATTTCTATTGGCATCCCTTTTTAAGGATTTATTAAATTAGGATCTTTTATAAAATTTCAACTTAATCGAGTATGATTTCGAGAATTTTACCACGATATACAAAATCCATAAAATATATTCTTATATTTTATATATAAAATATATTCTTCCCAAATTTCAAGGATAAAAGAGAAAATCATCGAAAGTGAATTTTTATTGAATGTTTCCAAAAAAATCTCTATTGGCATCCCTTTTTAATAGCATTTTTTATAAAATTTCGAAAATCTTACCACGATGTATAAACGAATCCATAAAATATTTTCTTTTCAAATTTCAAGGCTCGGATAAAAAAGAAAATCGTCGAAAGTGAATCTTTATTGCCACTGAATGTTTCCAAAAAAATCTCTATTGGCATCCCTTTATAATAACATTTTTTATAAAATTTCAATTTAATCGAGTATCAAGATAATTTCGAAAATTTTACCACGATATACAAACGAATCTTCAAGGCTCGGATAAAAAAGAAAATCGTCAAAAATGAATCTTTATTGCCACTGAATGTATCCAAAAAAATCTCTATTGGCATCCCTTCTTAATAGCATTTCTTATAAAATTTCAACTTAATCGAGTATCGAGTGATTTCGAAAATTTTACAACGATAATATTACAAACGAATCCATAAAATATATTCTTCCCAAATTAAATTTTAAAGCTCCGATCAAAAAGAAAATCGTCGAAAGTAAATTTTTATTCAATGTCTCCAAAATCTCTATTGGCATCCCTCTTTAATAGGATCTTTTATAAAATTTCAACTTAATCGAGTATGATTTCGAAAATTTTACCACGATGTACAAACGAATCTTCAAAAAGCTCAGATAAAAAGGAAAATCGTCGAAAGCGAATCTTTATTGCCATCCAATTTTTAAAAAAGCTGCCAATTGCTTTTTGCTAACAGCATGGAAAGATCTCGATGCTCATCATCGTCGTTTCGAGCACGATCGTTTGGAACACGAGAATTAAACCTTGATCTACGAACGTAACAGTGATTCCACCGGTTGGATTCAATACCTCTGGGGTCTTCTTGGTCGCGGAGCGAGGTTTTGCCCGTGTTCTTGCGCCGACGCTCGATGTTCGAACCAACGAGTCGCCTTGGGACGTGCGGCTGGATTGTAGCGCTTCCCCGCTGCTGTATCCGCTTGATATGTCGTCCGAGGACCTTATGTTGCTGAAACGGCAACGGCAGCCATTTACAATCGCACGACCGATTCATTCCACGCACAACAAAAGGTCACTCTACTCACGTTAAGCTGGTTGTCGGCTCCCTGGACCGCGGTTGTCTAACGTCCACGTCCACCTCGGAAAAGTACATCTCCACGCGATTACTGCTCGACTGCGTCCGACGAGGACTGTACCCTCTTCTCCCTACGTGCTCTCTTCGACGAGGTTCCACTGCACGAGGTTTCACCATCGGGAATAAAATTGCGAAATTAATTTATTCGTTCGTATCATTTGCGTTATGAGAAAAATGTGATACTTTTTTTTTTTCTTTTTATTATTGATTTTCCTTGAAGTAGAATCTTTGTGAAATATATCATAAAAGATCGTATCGTTTCGAACGAATTTTTCCATATCTTTTTTACGAGTCGATATAAATTTTCGATACTGTGGTATTGAGTAGTATATGTGTTTTTTATATAGGGTGTCTCTGAAATTGAGATGCGAGCGAATGATTTTACATGGAAAAAGAAGAAATATCATTTTTCTTTTCGTTTGTCTTCAAAAATTTGTTAAGTACAAGTGAAATTAATTCGTGAATTGAATCGATTTACGAGTTCAATTTTCTCAAAAAAACTTTTTAATTTTTCAACAAAATCTTCTATCGATAATTCATAATGTATCGTTTTGAACAAATTTTTCCATATTTTACGAGTCGATATAAATTTTCGATACTGTGGTATTGAGTAGTATATGTGTTTTTTATATAGGGTGTCTCTGAAATTGAGATGCGAGCGAATGATTTTACATGGAAAAAGAAGAAATATTTTTCTCGTTTGGACTTTGTCCTCAAAAATTTGTTAAGTACAAGTGAAATTAATTCGTGAATTGAATCGATTTACGAGTTCAATTTTCTCAAAAAAACTTTTTAATTTTTCAACAAAATCTTCCATCGATAATTCATAAGTAATTTCGGGAATTAACCTTTGTTCTTAAAAATTTAAACGGGATAAAAGAGAATGTAACGTAGAACGATTCTTAAACGATCAAAATTAATCGAATTACTTTTCTCGTTATTAATTTTAAAGGATAAGCTTATACATATTAATTACCAGTCACTCTTAAATATTTATGAAAATAATTAATAAATAATAATCGCATCACATGATCGAGAAGATTCGAACGCCAAATATTTTCTGGGAACAAAATCAAAACGTGTGAAGAAAAAAAGTTACTCGAGATGAGTAATCCTTAAACCACACGCATATTTCAATCACATCTCACCAATAGGCAATTAATCAATCAGACTTGTAATTTTTCCTTATTTATTATCGCAAAGAAAAAAAAAATAGAAAATAATAAGCGACGTTTCTTTTTTGCAAAGAAAAAAGAGAAGAAGGGAGGGGAGGAGGAAGAAAAAGAAGCGAATAGGAACTATATAATCGGCCAATAACCTTCCATGTCCGTCTCGTCGTGCATGTGCGGCGTGTTTCTATTCTCGTCCTCTTTCTCGCCGGTCAGGTCGCTCAGGCTGTAGCTCTTCTTCAAATGCTGAACCAAGCCTCCACCGCCCTGAAAAAACCAATCCTACGTTTCTTTAACCCGCCTTGCCATTCCTTTCGAGTAAAGCCTTCATAAAAGTTCCAAAGTTCGAAGGATCGTATTGGCTCGTGAGATCGATATCGATATCGATATCGAAGAAAGGGCCAATATTTCTTCGATAACCGGGGGAAAAAAGAAAGAAAGACATAGAGAGAGAGAGAGAGAGAGAGGAAAAAAAAAAAATTAAATTCTTACCAAAACAGAAAAAGGTGTTAAATGTGTTATCCGTCGACACTGGAGCATGTGTTCGATCTGTTGTGCGATCTGTCTAAGAGATCGATCTAGGCCGGGTTCGCAACAATGGGAGAACGCGTTGCGGTTTCTCGCCTATCCGGCTCCTCTTTCTTTTCCGACTTTCATCCTGGCACCGAGTTAACGGCCAGCGTGTCCGTCGATAGAACACTCTTGATTAACTGGACCAACTCGTTAGACGAGATTTTTCTCGATACGAAAGAGAGAGAGAGAGAGAGAGAGAGAGAGAGAGAGAGAGAGAGAGAGAGAGAGAGAGA